AAAAAAAAAAAATTTTTTTTCCCCCCTCATTTCCCTGCTTTATTTTCGGCCGGTTTTAAAATTTAAAACGAACACATTAATTACTCATCTACAGTCATCATAGCAGCTATTTTTTTTTTTTTTTTTTAAGAAAAAAATAATAATATATATATATGCCTGCATTATCAAATTCTCCGCAATAATTTGGTGCCGAAAATAATGTCACTAATTGTCTTTTGGCGAAAAATTCATATCCATCTTCAACGACCTTTATTTAAATGCTTTTTTGGAAAAAACTCTTAATAAAAAAATAAAAATTAAATACTTAATGAGCTCTACATATCAAATCTAATTCATGCTTTTTTAAAAATACAGATACTATTTCAGGACTAAATACATAAGAAACTCCTCTTTCGTTTTCTGCCCAGCCTTAAACATCTTTATCAGGATCACTCCATAATAAATCACATAGTAATCCTTTTGTTTTTTTTATATAGTTTAAATAATATAATGAATGTTTTACCTGTATCTGGAACATCTATTGGTCTTGTAATTCTTCTTATTTATTCTAAATTTGTTAATTCTGGGGATAAACCACCGTGCATACAAAATATTTTTTCGTCTATTATAGCTGCAACAGGTAGGCAATTAAAGCAATCAGTAAATATTTTCCAAAGCTTTATGTTAAATCTTCTTTTGCCTGATTTTTTTTTTTATGAGAAAATAATATTTATATTTACATTCATCGTAAAACCCATATATTCTATTTATTGATGCACATTCATGATTTCCTCTTAATAAAAAAAAATTTTCGGGATATTTTATTTTATATGCCAATAATAAAGCTATCGTTTCTAATGATTATTTTCCTCTATCAACATAATCTCCTCTTTGAAATATATATAAAAATATATATATATAAAAATATATATATATATATATATATATATATATTATTCTTTTATTTATAAAATATATATTTTTTATTTTTAATATTTATATAAATGTTATTTTTTTACAAAAATAAATAATTAGTTTCTGGCGGATCTATTTTTTTAATAAAGTATTATTTATTTTATTTTTTATATATATATTACTTAATCCATATTAAAATAGTCTTAAAAGATCATAAAATTGTCCATGTACATCGCCTTTTTGTTTTTTTTTTTTAGAAAAATTAAAAAAAATATTGTTTAAAATTACAAAGAAATTTTTGTTGTTTAAAAAAAATAATTTTTTTATTGGTTTAATCTTTTTATTTTTATACCACATATTTTCAATGGAGCTTCTAATTCTAAAAGAATTGGTTGAGAAATAAATATTTCTCTTGATTTTATACATAAACCTCTTATTTCTTATTCAGTTAAATTTGCTAATTTGCCTGGCTTATAATCTTTGCAAAACAGGAGTTTTTCTATAATATTATCTACATCTATATCTACTTATTTTTAATTTTTATCAGCCATTGTTATTATTATTAATTTTTTTAGTTTTAAATTTTATTATTTTTTTAATAAATATATTTTTTATTTATACAGAGTAAATATAGCTTTTTATATATAATTTTTATTTATATTTTATTTTTTGTAAATATAATCAAAACTTTTAAGATTGTTAAAAAAAATAATTATTTATTTTTATTTAACTAAAACAAAATAAAAAAATATAATGAAATATATAAAAAAAATATATATATATACATATATATATGTATATATATATATATATATATATATATATATATATATATATATATATTTTTAAATAAATTAATACAATAATTTATATTCATTTAATATTTAAAAAAAAAATATATATAATTTGATTTAAGGAAAATTTATATATATATATATATTTTAAAAAATTAATAATATTATAATAATTTATAAATAATTTTATTTTATAATGAATAAAAATAATTAAATAAAATAAATATCATACAAAAAAACAAATATTTTTTTTTTTTTCCATTATTTAAATAACAATTTTTTTTATTAAAAAAAAAATCAATTTCAATTATTATTATTAGTATCCACGTACTTTTATTATTCTTCATCTAATTATTATTTAAATTTTTCATTAAGTTTATCAAATACAGGTGCAAATTCTTTCATAACTTCCAATTCTTCTTCCGGAGATAACTCTTTAAGTCCATTTTTTTAAATAAATTTTTCCAAATCTTATTCTGTGTTTCCAACGTAAAAATCACATCCAATAACCGCTAAACAACAGTCTTTTAAAAGTTCAAAATTTAAATAATAACATGCATCTATGAGAAGTTTAAATTTTTCTATTTTTTCATTTCCTTAATAATCTTTTAATAATTCATATGATTTTTCATCTAAATGTTCTTTTAAATTATTGCTTTATAAAGGTTTTTTTATAATTATTTAATCCTTATCATAATTATGATCTTCTAGAAATTTTTTTATTATTTAAAGTACTTCTTTTGATATATCGACATCTATAGGCTCCCAATGATTTAAGTTTTCAATTAATTAAGAAAACTCGGCAAATTTACTGTTAAATTATATTTCTTCGTTAGTTGATTATTTTGGTTTTAAAATTATAATGTTATGTTCGTTTGTATCCATTTTTTTTTTTTTATTTTTTTTTGATTCTTTTTTTTATTTTTTATTTTTTTAGTTGAAAATAATATAAATTTATTAATTTTTTTTTTTTTTTTTATATATATTATTATATATATTAATAAATATTTTTTATTTTTTTTTAAAAGAAAAAAATAAAAATAATAGAATTAAATATAATTATTTTAAAAAGTTTTAAATATAAAATTAGGTATTCTTATTTTAAGTAGATAATTTTAAATATTATATATTTACATTTTAAAAAATTTTATAATAATTATTATAAATAAAATAATTTGGTCAAACAAATACTGAAAAATTATTGATGAATAATTATAAAAAGAAAAAAAAATATAGAAAAATTAAAATTAAATAATTTTTAAATTTTGAGTTAATAATATTTAATTATTTTTAAAAAAAAGAAAGAATAAAAATATATATATATATATATATATAAATATATATATCTATATTTTTTTTTTATTTCTTTATATAAATATTAAAATTACAAAATAATTATATTTTTTTTATTATAAAAAAAAATACTTTTTATTTTAATAAACCAATAATATATTCTACTTTTTTCTATAATATTTATTATATCTTAGTATTATTTTTACTTTTTCTTATGTTTTCATTGCTAAAAACTCTCTACTTTAACCTTAATTTATTTTTACAGGCTATTTATTTAAATCATATAAGCCTAATAAAATGTCTTAGTTATAATCTTTTTATTAAATAAGTTTCTTAATATGTTATTAAAAAGCCTAATTCATAATCTTTTTCTGCAATATTGTTAATTTTTTTTACTTTTTTATTAATTTTAATAGCCTTTTTTTTCATATATTAATTTAGGTAAATATATATTGTCTTTAATTTTGTAAATTTTATATTAATATATTTCATTTAAATTTTTTTTTTTTTTTTAATATTAAATGAAAATTGGTTTAAATATAATATTAATTTATTTATTTTTTTTGTATTGAAAAAATATACAAAAAAATAAAATATATTTAAAAGAAAAGAAATATAACAAAAAATCACATAACATATTAATTATTTTATTATTAATTATCTTTTTCTTTCTTCAATTACTCAAAATACCCATAAATAATAGTCACAGCTAATAAAATACCAGTTCCTGATCCTATAGCCCCTAAAAAATCAGCCACAATAGTCAAAAGTCCAATACAAACTCCACCACAAGTAGCTGCTACTGGAATATGTCTTTCTAAAATTTTAATAATAGAAGTATCTCTATATCCAGGAACCATCAAATCTTATTATCTGAAATTATTAGCGACATCAGAAGCAGATTCTCCACTAATTTCAACCCAAAATCTAGCAAAAAGACCACATGAACTAACAATAAAAAGTATATAAATAATACAATGTAAAGGATCTTAAATAATTTATGACCAATCTCTTGGTGGACTTAAGAAATATACAAGACCTATTATATTATATTATTTTAAGAAATGTTTATTTATAAAATTTCTGTATTTAAAAAAAAATAAAAAAATAATAAAGAAAAGACATAATAAGTTTATAAACGAAATTTTTATTTTATTTTAGATTAATTTTTAAAAATTAATTATAGAAAAAAAATATGAAATAATAGAAAATTAATAAATAAAATTATATATATATATATATATAAATATATATATATATATATATATATATATATTTATATTTATATTTATTATTTATAATTACCTCCTATAGGAGTAGATTATCCTTATGAATAATCAGAATCTTACCATTAACCTAGCAATTTTACAAAAAAATTTTGGCTGAATTTTTTATGCAGGATTTATGAAAAGAAATAAATATTAGAAACTAAAGCTGTTTATAAAATAATAGGATAATTCGATGTATAAAATAATTTTATAGGGAAAGTTGCTTAATGTCCCTTTATTTTATGATTTTAAATAGGTAATTCTACTTTAAACCCCTTTTTAAAAAATAAATAAATACAAATATATATATATAATATTTTACTTAGAAATAAATAACAATCAATACAATAATAAATGTAGCTAATAAATTATTTAAATTAGGAGCACTTGTTCTATAAAAAGCATGATATAAAGCTCCCATTTTATCTTTAGTTAAAAGAGAATGGATTAAATTAATAATACTTCCTTCAAATTCAGTTCCCTATTAAGTAGTTATAGTAATAGGAGAGAAAGATTTCCAAACAATATTTTCACAAATATTAGTTGCTATAAATAATGATATACCACTTCCTAGCCCATAACCTTTATTTAACATATCATCTAAAAGCATTACAACAATTCCTGAAAAAACTAACTATGAGAAAATCAAAAGACAGTTTCCACTACCAATTTATTATACATCTCCATAAGCACCTGACCATATATAAGCAAAAGCTTCACACATAGCCATAATTAAACCAAGTACTAATATATATAAACATATATACATATATATATATATATATATATATATATATATATATATATATATATATATATGGTTTATATACGTTTCTATGCTCCTTAATATAATATTTTGTCTTCTCTTACTGCTTAATTAAATGTCAAAATTTTAGTATTTGCTAAAAGTTAAATTATCATCGAGGCTGTGACTATGGGTGAAATTCCCAATTCCATTAATGTTCCTCGATTAGATGCTAAGATTACTCTCATCCAATAAAATGGGTCACTTCCTTATGCTCTTACGACTCCATATAAAGGTATTTAACAACAAACTAAATATATAAATAAAGTTATGCCAGTCCATATC